AATGTTCTAATTTATTTGCTTAGATATATTATAAAAAATATTATTATTTGAAACTGTGATTGTTTTCATACATATTGTTTGCAATTATTAATTGATTATAACTGTTAAGCTGTAAAAAAATTATAAACGTAGTCAGTTTGTTTAAGAAAGAATTAGATAAAAATTATAGGCATAGAATAACGAGAAGGTGTAACCTATAACTTAATTAAGTATTTAAAATTATTCATGTGTTCAAGTATGTTGTTTACAAAATTCTGATTTTTATTTTCTTTGCAATATAAATGGTTTTTGTTAATTAATTTGAGGGAGAGAAATAACACAAATTGTTGGCAGTATTTATTTGATGTTGATAAAATTAGCTGTTATTATTTGCTGCGTTAATCCCGCGTTGTACAGTTTTAATTATCTTATTAAAGTTTTGCATACAATGTTTTTGTTTGCCTCGAATGTTTGCATGCTTTTATATTTAAAAAAAATAACTTTAAATAATTTTGTTTCAGAATAAAACTGCTTTTTGTGTGAGTTTAAATGTTAAAAAAATTTATTGATTTCATTTGAATTAAATTAATAATGCTTTGAGGATATGCTTGAATGTTTTGAAATCAAATATGAATTTTTTATAATCATCTTAAGAATAATTTGAGTTCAATTAAAAGTAAATCGTGTTATATTTAGTGATTTTATTTAATATTTTTTCATTTCAGAAAATTATTCAAGTATTTTGATTTCGAGTAAGTTTCAAGGAGTTTAAGGAATTAGTTATTTTTATCTTGATGGGTGCATTGGATTTTTAAGTTAAATAAGGAAATATATTTCCATCCTTTTTTTTAAAGCTTGTCATATTTTATGAACGACTATTTAATAATTTTGAATTAAAAGAAAGTTGAAACCAAAGAAACTGATTAAACCGTATTGTATTTTCCTGTTTGTAAAGGAACTAATCGAGAGCGAAATGATCGTTGGGAACTAACGATTTTATAAATAAATTCTAGACTAAATCTTTGTGAAACGAAATTCATGTAACTTTTTGATATCCAAAAATAAAATAACCTTTATAAGTTAAACGAATTTATCAACAAACTCAGAAACCTAATTTGCAAAATGATTTACAACAAACAGGTGAAAACAAATACATTTGGTTTAGCTTGATTAATATTTAACTACATAAATTTAAGTACCCTTAACAATATTCGTTGAAATTTCCGATAAAAAGAATTTTGCAATCTAAAAAAAAAAAAAACTTATAAGTTAAACGCATTTATAAACAAACTCAGGGACCTAATTTGCAAAATGCTTCACAATAAACTGGTGAAAGCAAATATATTTGATTTATACTGATTAAGACTTAACTACATTAATCGTTAACTAAATTAATTTAAGTACTCTTAACAATATTCGTTGAAACTTTAGATAAATAAAGTCTGGAAATCTAAAAAAAAAAAAGAAAAAAAAAACTTAAATTAAACGAATTAATAAACAAACTCAGGGACCTAATTTGCAAAATGTTTTACAATAAACTGGTGAAAGCAAATAAATTTTGTTTAGCCAGATTAATATTTAAATACATTAATTTAAGTACTCTTAGCAATATTTGTTGAAACTTTAGATAAAAAAAACTTAAAAAAAAGGGAACAAAACCTTTATAAGTTAAACGATTTTATAATCAATCTCAGGACCTAATTTGAAAAATGTTGCAAAATAAACAGATTAAAGCAAATATTTCGGTTCAGTCTGATTAATAATGAACTACATTAGTTTGAGTACTCTAAACAATGTTCGTTGAAACTTTAAATGAAAGAACTTGAAATCTAAAAAAAAAAAAAAGAAATCTTTATAAGTTAAACGAATTTATAAGCAAACTCAGAGGCCCTATTTGCGAAATGTTTTACAATTAAAAAAAAGAAAGCAAAATTTTTGGTTTAGTCTGATTGATATTTAAATACATTAATTTGAGTACTCTTAATAATATTCGTTGAAACTTTGCCACCTAAATACATACTGTGAATGACACAACGTTTAGTGATTTAAACACAGATACAGTTAGAGTTGTCAAAATCATGTCATACAAGTGATGAAGTGCTTATTTGATTGAAATCACAATGGCAAGTTTTCTATTTCAACGCATTTAAAATGTAGTGTCAATACATTCAGCTATTTTGATAAGCGTTAATGCTTTATTCCGAAATTTACTGTATAAAATATTAGTATCGCAAAGTATAATGATATGTTAGATTCACCTTTCTAACTACAAAACGCAGGTACAAAAATAGGTTTTAATGATGGGCAATAATTGAAATTGATCAGAAAATTTAGTTTAGAAACGTCTTTTGATTATTGTTTGAAAAATAAAGATATTTTTTAAAAGTGGCCATATTGTGTTTTGTGAATAAATACGAATAATAGAGTAAACATTTTCTTAAAAATTACTCTCACCTTTTTAATATAAAATATTGTTTTTAGTCAAAAGTATGATTAAATAGAAAAATACTTAGCAAATTTTGATGTCGGGAAAATTTTTAAAATTTATATCAAATGTATGAATAAAATTCCTCAAACGTACATGTTCTAACAAAATTTTGCCTGTATAAGAATCTCTCAATTTAAATTCGAATATGAATATAGATATTTACTTAAATACAAAAAGCTCAAGTATTGATCAAGTATAAAGATTAGTATTTTGACACAATAAATAATGTTGAAAAGTCTTTCTGGCGTCTGAAGTAGATTTTTTTTAAAAAAAAAAGCTGTAAAAAATAACAAGGTCTTGAATATCTAAAGGAGATTGATTAATAATGAGCAGCACCATTAAGGAAATAGTTCACAACATAAAGCTTTCAGACTTTGTAGCAGTCGATATACCAAACATCGTACAGCAAATGAATACACAGAATCTTCTTTTTCTTCCAACAGTTCAGCCTGTGAAGAGAAGATTGTTGAGCTAACATATAAAAAAATAATCTTCTTCCAAAAGCTGAATGCATTGAGACTAGCCAAGTGAACACTAGAAAAGAAAAATGGGCACTTTGATTCGTTGCTCCCATCATTGAATTACACATTTACTTTCCAATGTTTGCCTCAGCTCTCCCAATTGCGCTTCAATGGTGTTTTTCCACCCTGAAAAAAGTAAGTTTGCATATTAGAAGATTTGAATGCCTCAAGGAAATCAAGAAAGTTTTGATGATGCTTTACCACAAGTACTCAAAAAAGTAAGTTTGCATATTAGAAGATTTGAATGCCTCAAGGAAATCAAGAAAGCTTTACCACAAGCACTCTCAGAAAAAGCAAGTTTGCATATTAAAAGATTTGAATGCCCCGAGGAAATCAAGAAAGTTTTGATGATGCTTAACCATCTTAGAAATATAACTATCAATTTCGACGATTCAGCAATCCTTTCTTAAATTTTAAGAATTATTTCGTATCGAAAACACGTGATATATGATCCCGGGTTCGAATCCCGCTTCGGGCTTGGAAGTAATATATTTCTCAATTCTTCTTGTGTTGTTAGGGTGGCATTGATCCACCTATTTGGTACCTACGAAAATGTGATTAGTAGAAAAGTTAAATATATTAGATCCTGCGAGTTTTTTCTTCTTCTTTTTTTTGGAGGGGGGAGGAAATAGAATAACTAAATATTTCTTTAATTTTGACGAAATTCGTTTCCTCGAAGAAGTGACTGTAGTTAGTTCGTCACTTTGATAAAATTTAAGCTCGGAGCATATACCAGGAAGCAGTTTTGTCAAAACAAAGAAAGTTTCTTGATATTTCAGCATCTATTTTTTGCAGTGAGGTTAGAACTGATTTCTATGCCTATTACACAGTAAAAACAATTCTGCAATGTTAAAAATCTCTGGTAGCAAAAATGACACATCATTTCCGTATACACAAGAAAAATAAAAGTCTTTATAATGTTTTACCACAAGGTAGTAATTGATTTCCATGACTATTTTAAGTAATTTTTTTTTGTTGCTATATTTAAAATCTCTGACAACCATATTGCCAAAACTTTTCTGTATACTCAAAGAAATCAAGAAAATTTCGATGAATCTTTACCACAAGGTGGGAACTGATTTCTATGCTTATTACGCAGTAAAAAAATTCTGCAATATTAAAAATCTCTGACAGCAAAATTGCCAGAACTTTGTCGTATATTCAAGGGAATCAAAGTTTGATGATGCTTTACCACAAAGTAGGAACTGATTTCTATGCCTATTACACGGTGAAAAAATTATGCAATATTAAAAATATCTGACAGAAATATTGCTAGATCTTTTTCGCCTACTCGAAGAAATCAAGAAATTTTGATGATGTCTTACTACAAGGTAGGAGCTAATTTCTTTGCCTGTTACAAGGTAAAAAATTTCTGACAGCAATATTGTCAGAACTTTTCCGTATACTCAAAGTAATCAAGTAAATTTTGATGATGCTTTACCGCAAGGTAGGAACTGATATCTATGTCTATTACACGGTAAAACAATTTCTGCAATATCAAAAATCTCTGATATCAATACTGCCTAAACTTGTCCATATGCTACTGCAAAAAACATATTGATAGACATTTTTCTATAACAAAACCACACAAATCTTCGAAGATAACAGATTTCTTTAGTAGAGCAAGGTGAATAGACATTGTTAGTCCTACGTCACTTTACGACGTCACCAACGGCACCACTAAAGCGTTCCAATAATGGAATGGAAGCTAAGTTTTACATGACGTTTCCTATTGAGTGTCACTCCGTAAAGTGACATATGTTTTTTGTTGAATTTAATTACAAAATAGCTTGATTAAATATATTAAGGGTCTGATTTGGATATAAAATAACAGGCTTGATTTAAAAGCATCATTAATTTTTGTTTAAGGCTTGTTAAATTGTAGAAAAATGAAATTATGAGTTTCGTTTCATTATTTGTGAGGTTACAAAGGATGGTTATGATTTTTATGGCATTCTTCGTCCTCTTACAAAGTTGAACTTCTAACTCGCCTTTCGTTAAATTTATCATTGCCTTAACTTTTTTTTTGTTAATGAACCAAAATTAATTGAGTGCGATGGAAAGGTTGTTGAAGCTATTCATGTGGGTTTGTAGCACAGAAAAAAATAAAAATAACAAAAAATGCAAACATAAAATAATAATAATAATAACGAAGGAGATTTTTCTTTAAAAAATGTTCTTCAACAGTTAAAGACTGGGTGATTAATAATAATAATAATAATAATAACGGAGATTTTTCTTTAAAAAATGTTTTTCGACAGTTAATGACTGGGTGATCATCCGCTTCTTTTTCTGCAGGATAATTTTTTTGCAAATATGCATTTTTAAAACCTTTAAAAATGGAAGTTGAAAAATATTAGGTGTAGCAAGCTGATATAAATGTGAAAAAAATCTAATTCTACCGAATCATTATAAAGAATACAAAAATATCCTCGATTTACTAGCCTGCTATAATAATATAAACTCAATTTAAAATTAAAACATCATTAATTATCAGTAAAAATAACAAATTATTATATTACTTATGCGTGAGAATGTTTTTAATTCCGGAATAGTTTTGAGTTTAGGAATTTATAAAAGATTTTCAATGTTTGTAATGATTAGATATTCTTGAAAATTTTCTATGCACGTATTATCTTGAAAACACAGTCTATTGATAAAAATTTAACTTCATAATTGCGCAATTTTTCTTATTATTACACTTTTGTGAATCGTGACAACAATAAGCGCGTTTTACATAAATATTAAAAAGTGATACTGCACAGCATAATGGAACATAGTGCTTTGTTTCTGTTTGTAAATTGATTACTTAATAACGCGCAATATATTTAAATGCTGGGCTGTATGAGACATTGATATTACTGGGAATTCATAACAGCCCGAGAAGAATTCTATGGAAATATCCAATCATTTATAGAAATAAAAAAACTCTCTTTTTTATTATATGAATATAGACTAAAGTAAAACAACTGTTGTTTGTCTGTCAGTCAGACTGCAGTGCGTCGAAGGCTAAAATAATTGTAATAGGCAGCAGTCTAAGTGCAAATGATAGGAAATAAATAATAGACCGTGAAAAATTTATCTGTCTTCATTCTGTTATTGTATTTTAGATAATATATTTTGGTATTACAAGTGAGAATCCAATTAAAATTAGGTACTTTTAAAATGCGATAAGTTATAGAACGCGTTTTCTTTTTAACCAATTGCGCTGTTACAAGCTAATTTTAATTAATTGATAGTTATAATTAATTTCTTTTCGTTTGAGCTTTATATGTATTCGTATGAGAATGGTGAATATATTGGTGATGGTAAATACATTATAAATGCTGGTTGTTATTAAACTGAGGACTTTTTATAATTGTAAACTAATAATAAAATAACATTTATGAAATCGTGTTTGTTAAATAATGAATATGACCAGTTTGTTACTTGTAAAATCATCAAGATCTTCAGCTTCTATTTCAGCCGGTGTTTTCTTTTTTCTGTTCAAGCTGTTACTTTCAGGCATGTAATCTTCCTCTTCCACTTCTTCTTTTTTCTTTATACCGTACTAAGTAAAGAAAAATAATTGTCAATCAACAGTTCGAATTAAAATATTTTTATTTGCTTTAACAGTGCTATAAAACAATTTTTATATTATTTTTTAAAGTTTCAAAATCCGTCTTTATATTCAGATTCTCTAAAATGGTCGGAAAATATTGATTCTTTGTTCTTTGGTGTCAGGCTGGAGGGGAAATTAAATTTCGAAAAAATTAAATTTTTTCAAATAGAGTTAATATTTATACTAGCCAATATATTATGATTCACTGCATAAAATCCTGGTGAAAAGCACTGGTACACAGAGTGCAGCATACGTAAAATCCATTTTTACCGTAAAATTTTATACCGTGATTTTTGCCGTAATATATAATTAATTACAGTATTCAGTGCTTTTACTGCAAAAATTACGGTATATCAGATAGTTTGCTCCGTAAAACTTCATGGTAAAAAGTACTCTCAACCTAAGTGTTGGTACATTTTATCGTAATTTAATACTGAATTTTTTTTTCAGTGTAGGGGACTCTGTAGCTCCCATAGCTACTCAGAATTGCTGCAATTATTTTTTGTTTCTTACAATAAACAGAATGCTAAATTCAAATATAAAACTATTCAACTGAAAGATCCAAAAATGTTTAATTGTCAAAACACAGATTTAGTTTTGAAGCTTTAATTCCCGATTCTGTTTGGATAAAATTGAAGCAAAATCATTTTACTCACTTACTAATGCAACTTCATCCATGGTTTTGTTTTTTAAATTTATATTTTTTTAGTTACTCGTATAATGTTTTTCCTTAAAAGCAACTATTTAGTACTAGTCCGAAAAGTCTATTCCTACACTGAGAAAAAATATGGTAAAAATGATCAAAATATAATAAAATATACCATGTTTCTGGCTTTATGGGCACACCAAAAAACTCAACACTTTGGTAATGGCTTTGGTATATTTAACAATAAAATATCATTTTATAATACGTGATAAAATTTGGTAAATGTGGTAAAATTCGGCTATTTTATCATGATACCTTAGAACATGGCGTAAAAACCATTTATTCAGTCAAATTTACTTTTCAGTCTTGTATATTTTACTAAATGTGTAGTAATAAAAAAACTATAATTTTGAAAACCATAATTTCTGGTAAACCTTTACCATATGAACGGAAAATTACTGAATGAATGGTGTAAGTACTGTATATTTTAATTTTATTAACCTAAATTTTGTTTTTATTTTTTATTTTTAGAATTTTTTTTTTTACCAGAAATGTCATTACTATACATTTCGGTAATTTTTCTAGAATTTTTTTTCCTTATAATAATGTTTTACATTATTATAATTTATACTCATTATTATAATTTCATACTTTAATACAGCATACTTTAATTTTATACAGCTTATAATGAAGCTAAATATAACTTATTTATTGTTAAATAATTATAAAATGGTGAAAAGTTTAGATCAAAGTTTTGCTTTATCATAAAACCTAGCGTAATAAAAGGACTTGTTTTACAATCAAGAAATACTGATTTTACTTATAAGTCTTAAATTTGAAATAATAATCAAAAACTTAGTAGTAGAGAATTAAAAATGATACATAAATATTACAAGTAAATGCCTTTAAACCAAGGATATAGAAATATTATACATGTAAATAATTCTCTACAATTATTTAAATTTTCTAATGTGTCATGTTACGTTTTTTAAGTTGAATTTTACACCTTATCTAATGTATACTCATCAGCATATTTTCCAGTTTAAACTATGAGTAAGTATTAATTTATTAACCAGTTAAAAATTATTACTATAAAAATCCTTCATTTGCTTCAAAAATATACAAAATGAATTTAGCTTATAATGAAGCTAAATATAACTTATTTATTGTTAAATAATTATAAAATGGTGAATAGTTCAGATTAAAGTTTTGCTTCATCATGAGACGTAACGTAATAAAAGGACTTATTTTACAATCAAGAAATACTGATTTTACTTATAAGTCTTCAATTTGAAATAATAATATAAAAGAGGAGTAGAGTATAAAAGAGTAGTAGAGTATAAAAGAGGATAATACATAAATATTACAAGTAAATGCCTTTAAACCAAGGATATAGAAATATTATACATGTAAATAGTTCTCTACAATTATTTAACTCTTCTAATGTACCATATTACGTTTTTTAAGTTGAATTTTGCACCTTATCTAATGTATACTGAGCAGTATATTTTCCAGTTTAAACTATGACTAAGTATTAATTTATTAACTTGCTAAAAATTATTACTATAAAAACACGTAATTTGCTTCAAAAATATGCAAAATGGAAATAACAGTCGATTTGTTTCAAGTGCTCAATAATAGGCACTCATTTTCAAAACTTGCCAGACGGTAATGAGAAGAAACAAAAGTGATTTGAAATACAAAATACAAAGTTGCCAACGAAAAATGGAAAAATAAAGATGAGAAACAAAACTAGAAAAACCACAGAAGCCGAGAGAGAAAAAATATGAGACACAGAACAAGAAAAAACACAACAAGCTGCGAGGGGTAAATCAGCGTAAAATGCATTTTCACACGCTATGGAGAGGTGGTGAAGAACTAATGTCATTAACAAAGGAATTTGCATTCATATGAAAAAAAAAATTCCCGGGTATCAAGATGAGCTGACGTGATAGGGGAGAATTATTTTGGCATTGTAGAAATTGAATTTATGTCTAAGATTCTAACAATATACAGCAATTGATGATTTCTTGATATCGGACATATTTATCATGTTCCTTAAATTTAAATTTTAAAGCTCGACTAGTTTGTTCGATGCATCCATGGTCGCAGTGACAAGAATGTGGAAAATGCCCCCTTATCAAAACTATAGAGATCTTTAAGAGACTTGAATTAAATTTTACTTACAGACCTGTGAATGATTTTAAAACCAAAATGGGAGAGGATTTTAGCAATTTTACAACAAACGGGAGAAAAAAAAATGTAAAGTAATAAGTTCTCTGTAAGGATCAGAAGAAAAGAGATTGGGTCCAGTGAGTTTAGCAAAAAGCAGAATCAACTGTAGTAAAGTTATCCACGGTTAACGGCAAGAGAGCGGAGGAAGTTAAGTTCGGTGTTTAAAAAGAAGAGTCAGAGTAAAGGCTTAACGTAATTATGGAATGCAGAAATTTTCAAAAATTTTGGATGATTAGAATTAACATGAAGGGATAAAAAGGAGGAAAGATCTTTACTATAAACAGAGGTGGAAAATGGCAAAATGTTTACGATAAACAGAGATAGAAAAAAAGGTCAGTTAAATGATACTATTACACAAAGCAAATTAAAAAGAAAAAAAAAACTTAAATTGTTCATAAAATGCTTAGTATTTAGTAAGAGATAAAAAATTTATCTAATTGCGTCGTTTAATTTACACAAAATAAAATTTAAATATGCGAAATCTGTATTTTTCAAAAATTTGATTAATTCCTTTCTGCCTTGCATAAATTATAAATTAAACAAAAGCCTTTCCATTAAGATATTAATAAGATTTTTAAGAAATAAATCTAATATTTTACGAAATTTAGGGAAACAGTGATGCACTTAATAAAATAATTAAATAAAAATTAGGTGCTTCGCTTATAAATTGATCAGCCTGAGCTAAATTTTCTGCGTTTTAATTGCATCCAAAGAAGGGGAGAAAGACTGAATGCAACCATTAAAGACTGAATGCGAGCCAACCATTAAATAATATAAAACGATATAAACAATTAGTCTGGATCGACAAAATTCGTCACTCATTAGAGAAAATCAATTCAGTTAATTTAATTTTCGTGAGGAAATATATGCGTTATTTAACTTGCCGTAGTTCAGCACAAGTCAAAATCCGATTACCTTAACACTGTCTCATCATAAGTTGTAAAGCATTAGAGTTCACGTTTGAGAATTTTTAGACATTGACTTATTGATCTGTACCAAACAAATATGTTGCATTAGTTCGGTTGATATTTTGAAAATGAATTCACTGAAGAAATTGTTGAGCAGTTAAAGATTTTAAGTGATTTAATCGTTGAATTTTGATATGTAAGAATTTTTTTAATGGACTTGTGGAAAAATGGATATATTAACCTTCAAAAATTGGTGTAAAAATATATAAGTATTTTTAATAAATCAAAAAACTTAATTATAAAATTTATGTATTACGTTAGAAAAAAAAACTTTCTATATCATAATGTTTCTTAACTTGTCATAGTTCAGCACAAAACAAAATCGAATTACCATAACAATATCTCATCATAAGCTGCACAGCACTTAAGTTCATATTTGAGAATTTTCAAACCCTGACTTATTCATCTGTGCCAAATTAATACACTGTTAGAATTTTCATCTTAAAATTATTTTAATATAACAGACAGTAGTCTGTTCTTTCAATAAACCGCAACATTTACGATAAAGAATATTTTTTTTTACATTCACGATTTTGAAGCCATTTACAACTAGTATGGTTTCGAAACCGCGAAAAAGAAATTTAGCTGGGCATTGCAGTTTAGGTTGTGATTGAGTTGTATTTTATCAAATGAACTGTGGAATGTGGTTAAATTAGTTAATCTGGTTGTTTCACCTATCGTAAGAGATGGGAAATACTAGACTTTTTTGTGTTAAGCAGCTTTATAGTGCTGCCATCTATGCATGAATCAAAGTATTGTATTCTTATATTCCAGGGGCACAAATCGGGAAGTGCAAGACACTTGAAACTCTTCACGTTTCGAAAGGAAGGGAGGAGCTATTGCGATGTCAACGCTGAGATTCGAACCCCCGTTCTGTCGGTCATGAGATTCGCAGATTAGCCCTCTCAGTTGTAGTACGTACCTCGCTTCACGGAGCTAAGTGGCTTCATTAGGTGGGTCTTGTTGGGGCAATAAAATTCTGGTCGTTCAACCTTTTTAGGTAAAAGTAGTAATAAACGGTTTTTCTCACAGTTGAGAGTTTGAAAGACGTCTTATTTATGGTTATTTGACTGCTTTGTTTGAATGTGGTAAAATAACAATTAAATAAATTGTTATTTTACCATTTTTTCCCAAAATATTTCAAACAGTGTATGCTGCACACAAATTTAAAACTTATTTATCAAATGATAATGCCATGTAAAAATTTTTTTTTTTGTAATTATTTATTATTTTATTTCATAATGACCAAAATAATTTTGAATAGTAAGGTACACAAATTTTAGCACCAATTTAATTCAACTCATTTTAAACAACATAATCCAAAATTTGGATATGCTTATAATTCTTGGCAAATAAAAATTTAAAAATGCTACTTATTTGAGCTTGCGAACGTATAAAATGACCTTTCGATCACTCAGCTGCCTAAACTTTTGTGATCATATTTTTCCGATTACGGTTACACTTCTAGTTTGAGGATTAAAAATCAAAATTCTTCGAAGAAAGATTTGTTTTTTCTTCAGAGTAAGTAAGGGTTGTTTCCAAGGGTTGTAATAATATGTATTAAGGGTGGTAATTACGACACACCATATATATATATATATATANAAAGTGTTAGAACTGCATATAAAAATATTTGTTCTCATGTTGATTATATGGATTATTAAGCAATGTTTCAGCTATCTATTGTTTGTAGTTAGAGGTTATTGACTGCAAATTTAAACTACAAAGAACTTATACTTTTCATCAAGTTATACATATTAAGAGCGGAAGGAAAAAAATTAAAATATTTATTAAATTTTCAGTTGCTAATAGTTCACTGCTGGTGAAGACTTCTTTTTCATATAAAAAATTTTTAAATGTCTTTTTTATATGACAAATATACCATAAATTTGTCATGAATTCGTACAAGATGTGAATCATTTAACCTTCACCCACTAATGAACACGGTGAATAACCGCAAAATTTAATTTTCCTAGTTTTTTATTTTCTTGATTTCAAATATTTATCTTCTGGTGTTTTGTCGCATTGTGTATTTGTGTGTATCTCACTAAAGAAACTCAATTTCAAAGAAAATGCAATTATGTATATTGTATATATATATATATTACGAATTGTTTCCTGCAATCACTATAGAGCATCAGTCTGGCTTATCGGAACTGTTTAAATTTTCAGATTTATAAATTTTTTTGACTAATGTTCATTCATACATTTACACAAATACTTTTCAAAACTCCAAGACACAATAACTAATTAACTATCATCGACATTTTTAAATTTCTTTAATTTGTTAGTAATCAAAAGCTCCAATAATGAATCTTACAGTTTTTGAATATTAACGCAAGGTATGTAAATAGTTCGGGAAAAATTTATTAATAGAATAATAACTTGTTTTATGAAGTTAAAATGTTTGAGTTATTATCAATGAAAATCCGTGATAGTTTAAAGCGCAAATAACAGATGGCGCTGGTAGCGAGCAATGGACACGGTTTTTCTTTCAATACTTTAAAAAATTCATGTTAGTTTGGTAGTAAACTTGACTGATTTTTCTCCTTTATTAATATATATATTTAATAAATGACACTTAGATTGATAATGGGGAAAAATATTTTTTGAAACTGATAAACAAATCTGTTAAACTTCCGGAGCAAAGTTTTATTTCAAAAATACTACAGGAAACAATGTATCAAAACCATTTTGCGAAACAGTAATAAGGAATAAGAAAAACAAAATGGGAAAAATAATAGAAAAATAATAGCAAATATTATAGTGGATAGTTTCATAGTTCAGATACTATCCATTCAACTTTAAACAGTCATATTAAATGAATGTAGAACATGATTTGTATTTTTTTTTTCTTAGAATTGTTTGTATCGTTATTTCTCTAAAAGAAAAATTTTCACAGCCATTTTTTTTTTAAAGGTGCATAAATTGTTTCTCAATAAGCCTTCAATGTACTCTAATCTATATCTCCCAATAAATCCCGAAAAAAATATTTTACAAAGAGAAACATTAAGAAAAATCTGAAATTCACGAAGTACTTAAATATTTGATGTTTGAAAAAAGTTGAAAAATCTAAAAAAATAAATTTTTTCCTCGGGTAAAGGAAAATAAATAATATTTTTCACGAAAAAAAAAATCAAAGTTTCATTTTGTCGGAATTGAAATTTTTGTTCGGCTGTTTGTTCAAATAAAGGAAGTTCCTGTCTTTAAGTGTTATTGTTCATCACCTTCTTAATAAAAATTAGATAAAACAAAAGCTTAGCTCGATGCAAATTATGCATTGAACAATTCTTTTATATATATATATATTTTATTAAATAATTTTAAAGCATTTAATTTCTATCCGCTTTTGTTCTATTAAGTTTAATTTGGAACTGGTTTAATGTTCTTTAATATAACCTTTTAAATTGAATATAACCCTTTAAACTGAATCTACAAATCGTTGCAGTTTCCGCCAACATTCTAGAGAACTTATTTTCATACATTTTGTAAAACAGCAAAACTAGTTGTAAATTTGTACCTCATTTCTGGTACTAAAAATATCGCTGCCTTCATTCTTAATGCTAACTCAACGAAATAAAATGAATTACTTGAAATAAAAGTCCAAACCAGGCAGAAACATTCATCGCCTTGTCTCACTGAGTTACGCGATGTGATTAAGTACTTAAATTAAGCTGACTCATTATTTTTGCACTAATTAGCTGAAGTTGCTTATTTATCACGAGTGTTGATTTTGTTTTATTAATTTTGTTTTAAAGCCGATTACTTCCCTAGTGAATTCTATTAAAGCCTGGTATAAAATCTGGCTAGTCGAGCGATCATTTTTACCTGCTTTGTGAATTGAAATGATAATGATACGCAATATACATTGGCTGAAGATACATAATTTCATCCAGTATATTTATATTTGTGTTGTCACTGTAACATGAATAAGCATGTAAAAATACGTTTTAACGACAATTTACAATAATAGATGAAATCGTAGTTGTAGCGAGCTTGTCGTTATAAGAAAAAGCACACATTTCATGTTGATTGAGTAAGATAAGAGGCTTGGATGATTTCAATTGGGCCTTTACAATGTTTAAGATTTAATTATGTAATTTATATTCTTAACAACTGTAAACCTGGTAAGTCGAGCGATTGTTTTTACCTGCTTCGTGAATTGAAATGCTAATGATACGCAATATACATTGACTGAAGATACATAATTTCATCCAATATATTCACATTTTTGTTGTCACTGCAACATGAATAAACACATAAAAATCCGTTTTAACGACAATTTACAATAGCAGATAAAATCGTTGTTATGGTGAGCTCATCGTTAAAAGAAAATGCACACATTTCATGTCAATTGAGTAAGAAAAGAGACTTGAATGATTTCAATTGGGGCCTTTACAAGGTTTAAGATTTAATTATGTAATTTATATTATTAACAAATGCAAAGGCCGAGAAAAAAAACCGGGTTTTATTCTTTGTAGAATATTATGAATGTTTCGAAATGATTTAGCTTCATTATTTGCTCATTTAAATAATTAATTGAGCTTTCTATAGTATCAGGCTTCATGATCATATTTAAGACAAAGAAAATAAAAATGCATTTCCATATCTTTTCTTCCAAAATGATATAATTGATTGAAATTATTCCATTTAATCCCAGTTCATATATTTTTCCTTTATTATAATGAGGAAATTATTTTTAAAACAGTTTACTACAATGCATTCAATGGAATGAAAAAAAAATTTTCAACTTTGATATTAATTATGAATTTAAAATGGTAAATAAAGTTTTCTTTGCGAACTTATACTAATCGTTTGCATTTGATGGTATTCTTTTTCTTAATCTCGAATCATATTTCGTTGCATTGAAATACCAAAAAATATGTTTTTCCGACAATTAAAATTAAACAAATCTAACAAAAATGATAAAACAGACAAAATAAATGATTATTAAATTACTAATGATTGAAATTATATACTTACTTCTGCTTATAAACAGAGTTTTTTTTAGAACTTAAGTATTTAATTGCTTGCATTTGATCATTTTCTCTTCACTCATGCACAGAAAATAAGTTTTTTTTTATTAATTATTATAAACTTTTGGTTTGAAAAAAATTAAATTAATCACTTGTTTAAAATAATGTTCTAAGCTAATGATTGTGGAAGAATTGTTTTAAGTTTCAACTCTTAACTGATTATGTTTCATTAATTAGAGGCACTGCGAACTTTTCAATATGGAGCAACGTACAAAATACAATAATTACAATAAAATATTCCATTAAATACGCTTTTTTACCCTTTTAATAATTTTATTTTTATTTGATAGTTCGAAAGAGGATTAATGAATCATAAACGACGCATTTTCCGTTACGCGGAAATTACTAATAATATTTATAAATGCGGAAGATGAGTATGTATTACCGTTAACAAAATATCAACTATCGAGCATAATGGGCTCAGAAAAAAAAATCTAGTCGATTGCATATCTTGAATTATTAACTCACTTTATCACGAATCGCTTGGCGCATTTTCTCTCTTTCTTCTTCCATTCGTTTATGCTTTTCTTTTCTCCGTTCTTCAGCTTCTCGAAGAGCTTCTAAGCGTTCTTGCTCTAACTCAGCAGCTGCTTCCTTATCTTCTGGAGTTTCATTTTCAGCGGCTGAACTCATTTGACCTTTAAATAAAATGATAGATTAATTATTTTTTGAAGTAAAATATATTAATAAAATAATATGCTAATTATTTTAAAATAAAATTAAGAAATGGGGAGTTTGGACTAGACACCACTTTTTTCCTGTTTTATCTCTCTTTCTTCTGTAATTCACAATTTAAATTTTTTCTTGTTTTTTTTTTTCTTTCAATTTTTGTAATTCACAACAGATCCTCGATTTTTTAAAAAAATATGTTCTTAATTAAATAAGTGGTTTTAAATTTTTTTAATTCCCTTCAAATTGAAAAAAATCGGATTTAAAATGACTTGGAGGAATTGGGGAATAATTACAACTGCACAAAGGCTCCTGCAGACATTTTCTTAAGGGGAAGAGCAAAAAAGGAAAAAAGAAGTACTCAATAAAATGGACTATTTAAAAAAATTATTCATAAATATTTTTATTCTGTATTTATAAAATTTTTTTCTTGCTTTTTTTTCAATTTTTGTACTTCACAACAGATCCTCGATTTTTTTGAAAAATATGTTCTTAATTAAATAAGCCGCGTTAAATTTTTTTATGCCAGCAAATTAAAGAAATCAGATCAAAAATGACTTGGCAGAAATGGGGGAATAATTACATCTGCACAAGGGCTCATGCAGACATTTTATCAAGGGGAAAGGCAAAAAGGAAGAATTATTCGATAAACTATTAAAAAAAAATAATTCATGAATACTTTTTTTTGTATTTATGAAAAATATTTTTATTTATGGGCCTTCACTAACAGTTTTAACAACATTTTAAATTTTTAAATAATTTAAATTTCATTAAAAATCATACTTTATTTGAATTCTTCAAATTAAACATTAAGCTATCATTATTATTGACAAAGTTCGATTACCAGTGGTGGTTTAAGGACCCCCCAGCGAGGACCACCAGATTACTTTAAAAAATTTTGTAAAAAACACTGCAAAAAATTTTGGTAAACTGTAAGAAATTGGATCAAATTACGGTATAAGCTCTTTGGGGGCATCATCTATACAATCCTTTTAACCGCAAAATGTATTTTTACCGTAAATTATTGTACAGAAATTTTTACAGAAATATTTATTTAATTAGAGTGATATAGTGATTTTACGGTAATTATTACTGTAGAAATTACGATATATCAGATTTTTTGTTCTGTCACATGCTTCGGAAAAATAGATTTTACGATAAAAAGTACCGGCAACCTGAGTGCAGGTACTTTTTTACCGTAATTTGATCTGGAAATTTCTTACATTGCAGCTTGTTTTGGAAGTAAAAATGGCTTACGCTTAATGTTGACCACATTGCAACAATCATTCTGTTGACCCCGAAATCGTAGAGCATTAAACTTCATGGCAATGACTATTGGAGTTCCATAATTTCTTAATTTACGTTATAAGTATTTTTTTCAATGCTTCGGTTGTTATATTATCTAACTATCTGAATTCCAGCCCCCCCTCACGGAATGAAAAAAAGTAAACAATCAATGAAACAACTGAACGACACTGCAAAATGAAACACCAAACTGAAAGACATATACCAATACAGTCCAATGCAATCGAATGCAATCTGGTCCATTTTCTTAGTTGCTGCATTAAGATTCAACATGAACTGAAGTTTGTGTTACAAATATTTAATGATGATAATTATTATAATGCTGAACAGAAATTTCAATATTTTTTGTGGAACAGTATTTTTAACGCTTTTATACTAATGATAATATTAATCGAAATAAGTTACATATAGCATAAATTGAAAGAAAACAATTTTTTTTAAAATTGTAAGTTCCTTTATTTTAATGACACTATTTTGAAAACGGGAGAAAGGTACAATGTAAACAAAATATTACCAACAAAAACCAATTCGGAATGAATTTTGAATATTCCATACTGTTAGAGTTTTTATTATAAAATTTTGGTAAAATAACCGGCAACAGTTTATCCATTCAATTAACCGTAAAGTTTGCGCTAAAGAACATTTTTTTCCTTTGCGTTTATGAAACCATTTACAACTAGTATGGTTAAAAAATCATGAATTCAAAAATATACGGTTTCTACCCTTTTACAACAGCATGGTTCTTAAAACCGTAAAACGGAAATTTAACTGGACATTGGAGATAGTTTGTAAGCTTTATGATTGAGCTACCATCTATACGTGAATGAGAGTATCGTATTCTAATAGTCCAGGGTCAAAAATTAGGGAGTGCAGGACACTGGGAGCTTTGTGTTGAAGGGAATGAAGGTGCAAACATTGCGGTGTCAATGCTGGGACTCAAATCCACAATCTGCCGGTCATGAGATTAGCAGGTTACTCCCCTCGGCTATAATATGTACCCATTTGCAAATAGCTTGCTGGCTTCAAGAGGTGGCCCTAGTTGGTGTGATAAAATTCTGGTCGTTTAACCGTATTAAAGTAGTTAATAAACGGTTTCTCTCACAGAATGCACACAATTTGAATGCCATTTTATTTATGGTTATTTGAGTGCCTTGTTTGAATATGGTAAAATAGAAATTAAATAAATTGTTATTAACCATTTTTTTCGAGAAGTTTCTAACAGTACACTAGATTACTTTTGAGAGAAAAATATAAACGCAAAATGATTTTTGAAGAAAGATTCTTTCACTAGAGGTAATTAAATAAATTGTTCAACCTGAATGTAACAAAAAAAAATATATATTTCATTGGTTGTTTTCTATTAAAATGAGATTTGTTTTATCTATGATTTAATCAGTTATACACGGAAATTATCATACATAATGCTTATTTACATATTTAACCAAATTACATTATGCGCAATAATGAAAACTAATCAATTTTATCAGAATGAAATGAAACATCTCAAAAGTAAAGAAAAGTTCATTTCTTTTACTGTTCTGATGAAATTCCCATTTGATTATTTTTATTCTTTTCTTCAAAAAATCAAAGGCTTTTGATGTTATTTGATTTTCTTCTTTAAAAATAACTTTATCTTTTAAATCCATTTATGCATCAAGGGTTTTGTGTTTTAAAGTTTATTTTTAGCAAATATTTCTTTGAATTTAATTACTAAAGTTCTTTTTCCGTAGTTCTCCATAAAAATAATATCTTTTTTATTTTATTTATTATTATACCACTTTTATGCAAATTAATCATTTCTAGATAGTATTTTTCAAAATTTATTGAAAACAACTGAGACGCATCCACTAATAATAGCTAAAGGGGAAAAATAAATAAACGACTTGAAGTTAAGCATCATTTCAAAAGTCATTTATTTAAGCGGGGGACGTTTTCGCTCACTTATTCAAAACATATTTAGTATTGCCTGTTTATTGAAAACAAATTTATTAATTTTCCCCACTTATTCAAAGCAATTTTCTCATTGTATTCTACTTATTAACATACTACTACTACTATCGGCGTTTTAATTTCCTGCCAAAAGAGAAGCTTTCTAAGGTTATGAGTCAGCTGTTTATTGCCAATTGCATTTGGAATCTTTTTCAATTCCGAAGACACCAAACACTGCTAGAAATTTCTTTGATAAAATGGTTAAATAACAGTTTGTCATTTTCATTCACACAAAACCGTCAAATAATCATAAATAAGATAGTAACTGTGAGAAAAACAGTTTATTAACTGCTTTCACTTAATGTTGTTAAACAACCAGAATTTTATTGCACTAACTAGACCCATCTAATGAAGCCACTTAGTTCTCAGCTGATGGGTACTAATTATAGTCGAGATGGCTATTTTGTCAGTCTCATGGGACGGGAGTTCGAATCCCAGCGTTGACACCACAATATTTCTTCCATTCCCTTCAACACATAAAGAGCTTCCAACGTCCTGCACTCCCCAATTTGTGACCCTGGACAATTGGAATATGATACTCTCATTCATGCATATGTGACAGTTGTATAAAGCTGCTAAACTATCTCAAATGTCTAGTTAAACTTTTTTTTAAAGTTCTGAAGCCATGTTAGTTGTAAATGGTTAAAAAACAGTATAGTTTTATATTCATGGTCCTTAAACCAAACTTGTTGTAAACGGTTTCAAAATTGTAACTGTAAAAAATGCTCTCTACCCTAAACTTTACGGGTAATTCAATGGATGGACTGTTGCCGGCTATTTTACCACAGGTTTAGGATGAAAATTCTAATAGTACATAAGTACGTTGTAGTAGTCTAATAGTACATACGTAAGTTGTCATAAGTGCGTTCATCCTCTGAAGTCTGCGAAATTTGAGGACTTGCCAAAATAAGTTAATGACTTAGAAGCGAGTATTGTACCTTTTACCAATTTTAATACCAATTTCATATTTTCATGTAGAATAGGATAAATCAAAACATTTAAAACGTTTTTGTGAAATCGTCATACTTTTGTTTATTAATATAGTTTTCTTGGTTAGCAAATTCTGTCCTACGGTTCCAAGAAAAACTAAAACAATAAAAACTGGTCCTTGACATAACATTATGTTGTACCTTGTGGAAAGGTTAAAATTGGTTCAAGGCACAGCAACAACAATTACAAGTATTGAATGTATCATTTATATGTTAGATGGCTCAAATATTTAGACTGGTCTATGGTAAATATGGTCCAAGGTACAGTAGCGATATTTAAATAAGATGAAAATAAGGTCCTTCTTCGAGAAATCTCATTTTGTTTTTAAAAAATGCCATTTAGAACCGTTTTACACTTAACTCATTAAATATTGAAACGAAAATGCTTTTAACTTAAAACAGAGTAAAGTTTTAAAAGAAAAAATATTTTTTAACTCCTTTTACTAACATACTTAAGTCGCTCAAATAATAATATTACAAAAAAAAATAAAATCCCACCGCTTCTTACAATATCTTAGAAAATCTTTCTTCAAGGAAACAGTAAACCTGAACTCCATTGACTCATTAAAATGCACGACCCTAAACCCTTTTTTAAGTTAGAAAATTAGTATTTGATTTCTAAGAAAACTTCTTTAAAATACTTAGTACTCGCAGCTTCCACTTAATAAAAATAAAGTAAACTTTAA